AGGGCACAGCAGCAGCAACAGCAGCAGCAGCAGCAGGAGCAGCAGGAGAGAGTAGAGGAGGAGTCACAGCAGCAGCACGAGAGGGTAGCGCAGGAGTCCCGGTCGCAGCAGCGAGTGCAGCTGCAGCCGCAGCAGGAGAGGGTAGAGGAGGAGTCACGGCCGCACCAGGAGAGGGTAGAGCAGGAGTCCCGCCCGCAGTAGCAGGTGCAGTTACAGACACAGCAGGAGAGAGTAGAGGAGCAGTCACGGCCGCACCAGGAGAGGGTAGAGCAGGAGTCCCACCCGCAGCAGCAGGTGCAGTTACAGACGCAGCAGGAGAGAGTAGAGGAGGAGTCACGGCAGCAGCAGGAGAGGGTAGCGCAGGAGTCCCGGTCGCAGCAGCGGGTACAGCTGCAGCCGCAGCAGGAGAGGGCAGAGGCGGAGCCACAGGAGCAGCAGCAGGGGCCGGTACCGTCGCAGCAGACGCCAGAGGAGGCGGAGCAGCAGCGACTGCGACTACGCGACCTCCCCGACCCAGCACCTGCACGCTTTGTTCGTGGTCCCCTACCGTCCCCTCCTGTTCCACCAGTTGAGTCCCTTTCCTCCTCCCAGTGGACTCGTCGTCCTCCCCTCAGTCGTGCTGTGTCTCCACAGCCCCGTCGGTCCCGTTACCGTGCAGACGGTCCGTTTCACCTTGTTCTCCGCTCTTGTGTTCCACCTCCTCCTGTACTTCCACAGCCCCCTGAGTCGTCCCTCACTGTGCTTCACGACCCGTTGTCCGACTACCTCCGTGCCTCCCGTCCTGTCGTCTCCCGTGTTTTGTCCGCGTTGGTCACTCACCCGACTGCACCTCTGTCGTCTGTCTCAGCACTTGTTACCACTGTCTCTGGCTTTGCCTCTTCCCACCGCCTTGACTACGCCGCTCACTTGGTGAGTGGCCCTGCACGTTCTCCGTCCTCTGGGGGTGCTCCTGTCTTTCCCCTGGAGGTCGTAGAGGACAGGCAGTTCGAGCTTGGTTTCCTTGCGGCCGCTGTTCCTCATCTCTGCGCCATGCTGCTTGCCCCTGAGGGGGATCCAGACGCCCTTGACATCCCGATCCCTCGCACTCACGCCGAGGCGGTCTCGGGACCCTGGGCTTCGTACTGGATAGCAGCTGAGGAGGCAGAGATGGCATCTTATAGGTCCACAGGCACTTACGTCGACGCAGTCCCACCACCTGGGACGAATGTCGTCAGTGGCCGATGGCTCTACAAGGTGAAGCGGCCGCCTGGATCACCACCTGTGTTCAAGGCGTGCTATGTTGCGAGAGGCTTGAGTCAGCGAGAGGGGGTGGACTTCTTCCAGACCTTCGCTCCCACCCCGAAGATGAGTACTCTTCGGGTGTTGCTGCATATTGCAGCCCAGCGCGACTACGAGTTGCACTCCTTGGACTTTTCCACCGCGTTCCTTCAGGGGAGCCTGCACGAGCAGATCTGGCTGCGTCGCCCACCTGGCTTCACTGGCTCTTTCCCACCTGGGACCCAGTGGCAGCTGCGTCGACCAGTCTACGGCCTGCGTCAGGCCCCACGTGAGTGGCACGACACACTTCGCTCGACCCTTGCAGCTCTTGACTTCTTTCCGTCGTCTGCTGACCCGTCACTGTTCGTTCGCCGTGGCTCGACCCCGTTCTTTGTCCTGGTCTACGTCGACGACCTAGTGTTCGCCACTCCCGACCGATGCGCGCTGGCCTCCGTGAAGGAGGAACTGCAGAGGAGACACACTTGCACTGACCTTGGTGAGCTGCAGCACTACCTTGGCCTGCAGATCACCAGGGACACGGCAGCTCGCACCATTACGCTGACTCAGTCGCATATGGTCGAGCAGATCCTCGCGCGGTTTCGCTTCCCGTTCTCCAAGGTACAGCTCACCCCTCTTGGTGTGGATCATGGGCTCACGGCTCCACCTTCGGACGAGTCATTTGAGTCCAGTGGTCCATATCCTGAGCTGGTGGGTTGTCTCATGTACCTGATGACCTGTACTCGCCCAGACCTAGCTTACCCTCTTAGCGTCCTTGCGCGCTTTGTTGCGCCTGGGAGACACCGACCTTCCCACTGGTACGCTGCTAAGAGGGTGGCGAAGTATGTGGCGAGTACATCAGGCATGGGACTTGTCCTTGGAGGGAAGCAGCCAGTTACACTCACAGGTTACTCGGACTCGTCGTGGGCCGACGACGCGGAGACGCGTCGGTCTACACAGGGGTACTCCTTTAGCCTCGGGGCAGGTGCTGTTTCGTGGCGGTCGACTCGGGCGTCGTCCGTCGCCGGTTCCAGCTGTGAGGCAGAGGTGTACGCTGCGGCCATGGCCGCTCAGGAGCTTCGCTGGCTGTCTTTCCTTCTCACCGACCTTGGTGAGCGGCCTCGCTCTCCCCCAGTCTTGTTCGCCGACAACAGGTCTGCTGTCCTGTTGTGTGAGGAGCCCCGACTGGTTGGGAAGGCGAAGCACATCCAGCTTCGTTACTTCCTTCTGCGTGAGTTGCAGCATCGTGGACAGGCACTCGTTCGACGTGTGGTCTCTGAGGCCAACACGGCAGATATCTTCACCAAGGCGTTGCCACCTTGTGACCACCAGCGTTTCTGCACCCAGCTTGGCCTTGTGCCTGCCCGTCCTCACTTGCTTGCTTAGAGATGCCTTGTCCTGCATGTCTTGTACTCTTGCATCTCTTTATATTTGCTATATACCTGCATGTGGACTGGCCTTGTGGCCCCTTGCTTGCTCTCGGAGTGTGTGGTGACTTTGAGCTCCACCCTGAGATTTGTCTTGTTCTTGTAGACTGGTCTTGTGACCGTTGCTTGCTCTTGTTGTTTCTACAGGACTTCCGTCACCTAGACTATGGGGGTGTGTCAACATATATTTTATATGTGTTGTTTAGGTTAGTCTAGGTGTTACATTTCTACTTACTTGCATGATTAGGGTTTGCTATATCTAGGGTTGTACTTCACATTTTCTATCAATTCATTCTTATCGTAACAAAGCGGCCGCCAGGTTCTCCGCCTGTCTTCAAGGCTCGTTACGTTGCTCGAGGCTTCAGTCAGCGGGAGGGAGTCGACTTCTTCCAAACCTTCTCCCCCACCCCGAAGATGACCACTCTTCGGGTGCTGCTGCACGTTGCCGCTCAGCGTGACTACGAGCTTCACTCTCTTGACTTCAGCACAGCCTTCTGACACGGCAGCCTGCACGAGGAGATCTGGCTGCGCCGCCCGCCTGGCTTCACTGGGTCGTTCCCACCTGGTACCCAGTGGAGCCTCTGGCGGCCAGTCTACGGTCTCCGCCAGGCGCCGCGTGAGTGGCACGACACACTGAGGACTACACTTGCGGCTCTTGAGTTGAGTTTGCTCCGTCGACTGCTGACCCGTCGCTGTTTCTGCGCACCGACACTTCGCTGCCGCCGTTCTACATCCTCGTGTACGTCGACAACTTGGTCTTTGCCACTGCTGACACTGAGGCTCTCGCCCTGGTGAAGTCGGAGCTGTAGAAGAGACACACGTGCACATACCTGGGTGAACTGCGCAGTTACCTTGGCTTGCAGATCACCCGGGACAGAGCACGCCGCACCATCACACTGACTCAGTCACACATGATGCAGCAGGTCCTTCAGCGCTTCGGCTTCACCTGGTCCTCGGCACAGGCCACTCCTCTGGCTACAGGTCACTCGCTCTCAGCTCCACCTTCGGACGAGTCCGTTGAGCCGAGTGGTCCTTACCCACAGGTTGTGGGCTGCCTCATGTACATGATGACCTGCACTCGTCCTGACCTTGCGTACCCTCTTGGCCTTCTGGCTCGCTACGCTGCTCCTGGTCGGCACCGAAAGGTGCACATGGATGCTGCTAAGAGGGTACTAGGCTACTTGTGCAGTACGTCGGGCATGGGGCTCGTGCTTGGAGGACGGGGCGACGTTGTCCTCACTGGTCACTCAGACGCTTCTTGGGTTGACGACTTGGCTACACAGCGGTCGTCACAGGGTTACACCTTCAGCCTTGGCTCCGGCTCTGTTTCTTGGCGGTCTACACGCTCTTCCTCTGTTCTCAGCTCCAGTTGCGAGGCTGAGATCTACGCCACAGCCATGGCTGCACAGGAGTTACGCTGGCTTACCTACCTGCTGACCGACTTGGGAGAGCGGCCTCGTTCTCCTCCAGTGCTGTACGTAGACAACAAGGCTGCCATTGCCTTGTGTCAGGAGCACAGACTGGAGCACAGAACGAAGCACATCGCTCTGCGTTACTTCCTTGCTCGAGAGTTGCAGCAGCGTGGTCAGCTTCGTCTTACTCACGTGGCCATTCAGGCCAACACTGCTGATATATTCACCAAGGCACTTCCGCCTGGTGATCATCAGCGCTTTTGTACTTTGTTAGGCCTTGTGCCCACGTTTCCTCACTTGCTGTAGACTTTGCTTGTACTGTGATCTATATATATACTTGCATGCTTGCTCTGCTAGGTAGAGATCACTGTGCTGTTGTTGTTGCATATATACCTTTGCATGTGGACTGGTCTTGTGACCCCTTGTTCTCCCCCACTTTGCCTACGGGGGTGTGTCAAATTATATGCATGTTATGCATGTGTAGGCTGTAGTGGGGTAGCCAATATGGGGTACAGCCCCTTTTAGGGTTTCATATTTGTACCCAACTCTCTTTCCTGATTCTCATTCCTGCTGCTAGATTATGACATATACAGCAAGGGTGCGCATATAATAAGTAACGTTTTTTAAGAGGGTGCGCTTCTAATTGAGGATCGGCCATAAGCGCATTGCTCCAGATAGAAGCGCATGCGCTTAACATAGGCCTGCGGTTATATCCGGGGCGATACGGTACCGTATCAAGGTTTTTAAATAAGCTCCTTCCACCCTCTCTCTAACATCAAATCAACGCATCCAGACACAACACATTCAACGAGAATGTTGCAATCTACACAACAAAACATCTACTCCAGCTCTTTGGCGCATTCTTTCGTACACATAAGGCTCATTTAACTTGACAGTGAATCACATATCAGCTTTTTATTCCAAGTGATTGCATGAACACAGAGTACGACGACTCAAGGTCAAAACTCAATTGCCGCGCCTGCTCTTCCGACAGCTCGTCGCTAGCAGCCATGCTGTTGAGGCGCACGAGCCAGTCCCTGACCTTGGTACGGCCTTCGAACTCGGCTGGTAATGAGGGCACGCTGCAGAGGGAGTTGAGGAGCAGGGAGAGCAACGGATGCACCTGGGGATGGGGAGGGAGGGAAGAACGGGGACAGGGAAAAAGAGAAAGAGCCATGCCATTGAGTCGCACGAGCCAGTGACCAGTCCCTGACCTTGCTACGCTCGAACTCGGGTGGTAGAGATGGCATGCTACAGAGGGAGTTGAGGAGCAGAGAGTGCAGCGGGTGCACTTGGGGGTCGAGTGGGTGGAAGGGGGTGCGGAGGGGTCGGAGGTAGCGGGAAAACAAGGGAATGTGGGGTGTGGGAAATGGAGAGCTCATTAGTGAACAGGGAGAGCTGCTGGGGAGTAAGAGGAGCGGGTGAAGTGGGGGTGGTGAGCTGCGGGGGAGGAGGGGAGTGCGGGCCCCATGGCTCAGAGATTTCAATGTTCACCTGATTGGGGCAATATGAGAGTGTTTAGTGTTTACCTGATCTACCGCGAGCATATTGAGCTTGACAGTATCCATGGCCGTTATAAAGTGCTGCACCGTCTCAGCCACTGCTACAGTCGCACTACCGCTCTCCACCGTTGCAGATTTATGCTCCACCGTTGCCGGAACCCCAGCCACCAGGAGACGGTTCTTCGCTGCAGGACAGTCCATCTTGTACGTTGTCATGAATCGCTCTATATCGGGCACGGCGCCTTGCAGCGCGGTGCGAAGCGTCCGGAACTGGCCAATCAGCTTCGCGCAAGCGGGCTCGTAATCCGCGGGGGAGATCAAATCCCGGACGTACGCCTTTTCGAGCTTCTCAGTAGTCTTTATAATCGCGTACAAATCAGCGAAACTCTCGTACTGTTCTCTCTCCGCATCGCCCTGCCATAGAGGGATTTCAGACGCTCCGCCTCCCCCGGAAATCCCGGAGCCTCCTAGCCCCGCTCGCGTGCCGTATGTCGCCATATGTGCCTATAACGAAGGCCGTCTGTACCGATGCTATAGTGAACTCGGGTTATCGCTGTACAGAATGATGCTTCACCGAGGTCGTTGGCACCTTACAGACCCGAGAAGAGGATACACGAGCACGTGCGTGCGATGGACGCGACTGGGAAGTGAACTCTGCTGGCGATGGATTTAGGAAGAAAACGGAGTAGATAACAAGGCTCGACGATGAACGTCGTCGTAAGGGTTGCGTAGAATATTACTCGAGATAAACGCAACAGAGATGTCTATATTTTTATTCAATCCACTTAGATTTATATGTACCTTTCTCAGACCCTCTACAGTCTTTTTGTAATATAAGTGTTGCATTTTCGTCTCTATCTCACACCTCATGCCCAATCATGAGGAATTTTGACTGAATAATATAAGCATGTACTACATGGTTACTTATGGTGTAGATTTTAGGACTAATATGGAATATGTTAGTTTCGTTTTTTCACTTTCGCCGCGTTTTGTTGAGCTGACGCAAAATGCACATGAAATGTTAGTGTATCAGCTGAGTCAGCTGAATTTCACGTGCACGAACATGCTGGAACGTAACGCGCTGGCGCTGGCGTTGGTTCTAGGTATTGTTGCTCTAAGGCACATTTTTCTTGCACCTGTTTCTCCGAAGCGCATGTTTCTTGCACCTGTTTCTCCGAAGCGCATGTTTCTTGCTCGTCGTTTCTTGCTCAACGTTTCTTGCTCCCTCAATGCCCACTATCGCGAGGAGGTCGAACACCATTCAAACATCTCGTTCAAGCAACAGATTCTGTTTCTTGTTTCAGTCATCTCGTTCTTGCTTCTCTAATCTTGAATCTTATCTTCTCGTTTCTACCAAGTTTGTTCAAACTTTAGCAGAGCAGTACTAGGTTCAGTTTTCGTTCTTTGGTAAAGACCGTCAACAATAGCCTCCTCTCCCGTGCCTCACCAATTGCTCTGGTAGGTTTCTAGGAGCGCTGGCGGGGCGTTTAGCGCCATCAAGGCTAGCGCCTTGAGGCAGGCGCCTTGGCGCTGAGGCAGGCGCCTTTTTCGCTGCCGCCTTGGCGCCTTTTTCGCTCAGCGCCTTGGCGCCTTTTTCGCTGGCGCCTTGGCGCCTTTTTCGCTGGCGCCTTGGCGCCTTTTCCGCTCAGCGCCTTGGCGCCTTTTTCGCTGGTGCCTTGGCGCCTTTTTCGTTCAGCGCCTTGGCGTCTATCTCGGTGGCACCTTGGCGCATTTCTCGCTGGCCCCTTGGCGTATTTTTCGCTGGCGCCTTGGCGCCTTGTTCGCTGGCGCCTTGCGCGCTGGCGCCTTGATCGCTGTAGGCGCTGGCGCCAAAGCGCGAAGGCTGCATCGTCCTTGCTTCGTTTTTGCTCACGTTTGTCACTCTCGCTGTTTCCCTCCCTACACCTTTCTGTATCGTTGCATACCAATTGCTGATTTCATGTCTCTTTCTTTGATGGAGTCCATCCTCTAAGCTTCTATTTTAAGTTTCGTTGCAAGGTCAATTTTAAGTTGATCAAAATTTCACATCATTTATTCTCTCTAACCTCCCCTCTCCGATCTGCCATTCCTTCTCCCCACTCAGCTTTGTCCTCAACAAGTGGCTAACAGGGCCACCTTCCGCCTCTGTCCGCCCTCCGGCAACTCATTCCCATGTGAGTTTCATATGCGACTTTTTAGGCCACTTTTGCGTTAGCTAGTAGACATAGCTGCGTGTGTGAGTGCGCGCATGGGGGAGTGCGAAGATGAGTGTTTGAGTGAGTGCGAAGATGAATGTGTGGCTTAGTTCAAGCGTAAATGCTTGTGTGAGCGTATGGATGAGTGTGTGGCTGATTGCAATGGTGAGCGCGAGAGCGAGTGCGTGGGTGAGTGAGTTGCTGAGTGCGATTGTGAGTGTATGAGTGGGTGTGTGGCTAAATGCAAAGGTGAGTGTTTGGTGAGTGCGTGGGTAAGTGCATAGGTGAGTCCGAGAGTGAGTGCGACGGTGAATGCAATGGCGTGACAAAGCGCGAGTGAGTGCTAGGCTGAGTGAGTGAGTGCGTGGGTGACTGCAAAGGTGAGTGAGATGGTGAGTGCCGATAGTGTGCGTGAGGGAGAGGTTGAGTGCAAGGGTAAGTCCGTGAGCGAGTGTGTGGCTTAGTGTAAAGGCGAGTGATTGGCTGAGTGCGAGGGTCAGTGGTTGGCCGAGGGTGAGTGTGTGACTGAGTGCAACGATGGGTAAGTGGCTGATTGCCTGTGTGAGCAAGTGCGTGGTTGACCGTGAGTGAGTGTGCGAGTGAGTGCGAGTGCGAGTGCGAGGTGAGTGCAAGGGTGGGTGCGAAAGCAAGTGCATATGTGAGTCCATGGATGCACAAGTGAGTGCATGGCTGTGTGCGAGAGTGGTAGAGTGAATGAGTGAGAGAGTGAGTGAGTGAATGGGTGAGTGACTGGGTGTGTGAGTGAGTAGCCGAGTGCGAGAGTGAATGCGTGGTTGATTGCGTGGCTTAGGGAGTGAGTGCGTGCATGAATCGATCGGTAAGTGCGAGGGTAAGCGCTTCAGTGGGTGTGCGGCTGACTGTAAGGATGTGTGCATGTGTGAGTAGGGTAAGTGCGAACGTGAGTGCGCGCGTGAGTGCGTAGGAGAGAGCATGGCCGACCGCAAGGATGAGTGAGTGATTAAGTGCAAGAGTGGGTGCGTTGCTGATTGCGAGAGTGAGTGCGTGATGGGTTGTGTTGCTGACTGCGTGATTGAGTGCCTGGGTGAGTGAGTGGGTGAGCGCGTGGTTGAGTGAGTGAGAGAGTGAGTGAGTGGGTGAGTGCGTGTGTGAGTGAGTGAGAGAGTGAGTCAATGGGTGAGTGAGTAGGTGAGTGCGTGGTTGAGTGAGTGGCTGAGTGCGAGAGTGAATGCGTGGTTGAGTGCGTGGGAGTGAGTGCGTGCATGAGTCGATCGGTGAGTGCGAGGGTAAGTGAGAGGGTAAGCGCTTCAGTGAGTGTGTGGCTGATTGTAAGGGTGAGAGCGTGTGTGAGTGCGAGGGTGAGTGCGTGCGTGAGTGCGTGCGTGAGTGCGTGCGTGAGTGCGTAGGAGAGAGCATGGCCGACTGCAAGGATGAGTGTGTGATTAAGTGCGAGAGTGCGTGCGTTGCTGATTGCGAGAGAGTGCGTGATGGGTTGCGTGGCTGACTGTGTGATTGAGTGTGTGGGTGAGTGCGTGGTATAATGCATGGTTGAGTGTGTGGTCAAATGTGTCGCTGAGTGCGAGAGTGAGTGTACGGCTGAGTGAGTGAGTGAGTGCGTGGCTGACCGCAAAGGTGAGTGAGGGTGAGTGCCGAGTATGTGCGTGAGGGTAAGGGTGAGTGCGAGGGTGTGTGCAACGATGAGTGCAAGGATGAGTGCGTGAGTGAGTGTGTGGTTTAATGTGAAGGTGATAAATGGGCAGCCTGCAAAGGTGAGTGAGAGGGTGAGTGCGTGGGTGCGTGAGTGACTGTAAGGGTGGGTGCAAGGGAGAGTGCGAGAGTGATTGCGTGAGTGTGGAAGTGAGTGCGTGACTGAGTGTGGTGTGCGAATGTGTGAGTGAATGTGTGGGTAAATGCGAGGACGAGTGCGTGATGGAGTGCGATTGAGTGTGTGGGTGAGTGCGTGTCTGAGCACAAGAGTGAGTGCGGGAGTGAGTGCTTGGCTGAGTGCGTGGCTGAGTGAGTGAGTGCGTTGCAGACTGCGAAGGTGAGTGAGATGGTGAACGCGTGAGTCCGTGCGGGAGCGAGAGGGTGAACGCGTGAGTCCGTGCGGGAGCGAGAGGGTGAGTGCGTGAGGTGAGTGATTGGCTGATTGTGAAGGTGAGAGATTGGCTGAGCGCGAGGGTGAATGCAAGGGTACGTGTGTGTCTGAGTGCAACGATGAGTGAGTGGCTGAGCGTGTGGCTGAGTGTGTGAGTACGTGCTTGGCTGACTGTGTGAATGAGTGCGTGAGTGAGTGCGAGGGTGAGTGCGTGAGTGAGTGCGAGGATGAGTGCGTGAGTGAGTGCATGGGTGAGTGAGTGCGTATGCGAATGCGGGAGTGAGTGCGTGGATGAGAGCACGGGCGAATGCGTGTGTGAGTGCGAGGGTGAGTGCGCGAGTGACTGTGTGCTAGAGTGCGAGTGTAAGTGCGTGGCTAAGTGTGAAAGTGAGTGAGTGAGTGAGTGCAAGAGCGAGTGCGTGGCTATGTGCGAGGGTGAGTGCATGGCTGTGTGCGTGCCTGAGTGCATGAGTGAGTGCTTGGAAGGGTGCATGGAAGAGCGCGACCATGTGCGCATGGCTGAGTACAATAGTGAGGTGCGAGGGTGGGTGAGTGGCTGAGTGAGTGAGTGCGTTGCTTACTGAAATGGTAAATGAGAGGGTAAGTGAGTGCGAGTGTGGGTGTGATAGAGACTGCAATTGCGTGAGTGTGAGGGTATGTGCATGGCTTAGTGCGTGAGCGAGTGCATAGGTGAGTAAGAAGGTGAGCGTTTGAGTGAGTGCGAGGGTGAGTGCTTGGATGAGTGCGAGCGTGAGCGCGAGTATGAGTGCGTGGGTGAATGCGTGCGTAAATTTGTGTTTGAGTGCGATAATGAGTGAGTGGCCAAGTGCGTGCGAAAGTGTGTGCCTAATTGTGCGAGTGCGTGCGTGGCTGCGTGCGACAGTGGGAGTGTGGCTGGGTGTGAGGATGATTGATTGGTGGAGTGCGAGGGAGAGTGCATCAATGAGTGCGAGGGTGAGGGCCTGAGTGAGAGTGCAAGTGAGTGCAAAATTGAGTGTGTGGCTGAGTGCAAAGCTGGGTGTTTTGCCGAGTGCGTGGGTGAGTCCAAGAGTGAGTGCAAGGTTGAGTGCGAGACTGAGTGTATGAATGCGTGGGGGGGCGATTGTGTGAGTGAGCGTGATGTTGATTTAGTCAGTGAGTGTGGCTGACTGCGAAAGTGCGTGCGAGGGTGAGTTGCAACAAAGTTTAAGGGTCAGTGCGTGGCTGAGTGCAAGGGCGAATGAGTGACGGAGTGCGAGGGTGAGTGC